CCACAGCACCGGTCCAACAAGAATGAGCAGCTTCAGCAACAAAAATAAGATGGGTTAAGCAACAAACCAGAGATACTCGTGTCATGCTGTTTTTTTTCCCCACCTGTCAGGTGAGGATTGTTAGATTTTATGTCAGCTGTCCCGCCCGCCTTCCGCCCGTCTCCTGCCTCCTCCGCCTCCTGCTCCTCCGCCTCCTCCTCCGCCGGACCTCAACTGCAAGCGCTAGATCGCAGCGTTCCCCGCCGGACCTCAACTGCAAGCTCTTGATCACAGTGGTCTCCGCCGGACCTCAACCGCAAGCTCTTGATCGCAGTGGTCCCCACCGGACCTCAACTGCAAGCTCTTGATCGCAGTGGTTCCCCGGCGCCTCAACTGCAAGCTCTTGATCGCAGCGGTCCCCGCCGGACCTCAACTGCAAGCTCTTGATCGCAGTGGTCCCCGCCGGACCTCAACTGCAAGCTCTTGATCGCAGAGGTCCCCATCGGACCCGAACAGCAAGCTCTGGATCAAAGCGATCCCCGCCGGACCTCGACCACAAAGAATCTCCGAAGATATATCAGATAGAATGCCAGAAAGAATGTCAGAAGATATGCCAGATACATATGCCAGATGTTGCCAGATAGAATGCGAGAAAGAATGGCAGAAAGAATGTCAGAATAGATGTCAGATAGAATGTTAGGTAAAACGTCAGAATATATGCCAAAATAAATATGTCGGAATATATGCCTTGAAATGCCATGGTGGGGATAACTCGAAGTAAAGTATTTTTAGTATTTTTGTTTACTGTAATTTTATTTGTTCTATTTGCCGATATGATCAGATGTGTAAAGTTTTTGGTCTCACCGGCTTTGCCCCAGAGTGAAGCCCAAACATGGATACCATGTAGCAGTACCATTGGATAACCAAGCTCTGGATTGGCTCGTGAAGAGCTTGGCCCATCGCCGCGGCATTGTGGCCGTAAGGCGGAATCGCTTTGGCAAGTACATTGTGTCGCACCTGGATCTGCGGTTGCAATCGTGGAGTGGTTGGGTGCACGCTGTTTGTTGATGATGATGGTGATGTTAAAGGGTGATGGCCACCGCTATATTGTTTAATGTACCGTGTGCCATGAGTTAGTTCGGTAAGTGCAGCTGCGATTAAGCTACTTGTGGGGGAGCCCAGCTACCCATTGAAGTTATCCGGTATGTGCTACCAAACAAGTGGTTCCATTGTGAGTTCTCTGCCGTGATTTTGGAATATGATAGGAAGGCTCGTTTGTTAAAAAAATCAGAATGCTCAGACGCAGATGCTGGACTGGGACACCAGTACGTGGCAGATGGTCCAGGGCAAAAGAGATAACCTCAGCCTGGGACACTTACTGGCCATAGTGTACTATAGCCAACTAGTTGCAGCACCTAGAAGTCACCAACCCTGTATTTACTAAGTGGATCTATCATGTTTTTTCAAAGTGGAATGGTCATTCCCAAAACGAAAAACTCGTTGAGGACACCTACTGTACATACATGGACGTGAGGGTCAAAAACAACAATTTTTACATTAATTTTAAGTGTAGACACACATCTCAACAAAATGCCCCAACATGCTACTGCGCGTTGCAGACGAGAAGGAGTATAATAAATATATATATATATATAATATACCATTTGCTTATTTAACATAGCCATTGCAAATCACCATGTTTAATAGGTAAACCATCTATTTCTATGGGCCATCTATACCATGGTTATCAGCAAAGTAGTCCCCAGATTTGCCGCAACTCAGGAGCTGATGGATAAGAAGAAAAACAAAATTTGGGGTTTCTCGGCGCGCTGTGCGTTCCCGGAACCAAAGATAATATATGTGATTTGTGACCATGAAGTAAATGGTGAATGTGAATGTTTGGTGTCTATTCAAATTGATATGAAATCGTTCATTGCTTCTATCAACGGATGATGTTTAATTTCATATGTTAACTTGATCGGTATCCATAGATACAACTGACATTATAGACTTCTGACACTGAAAGTCAATTAACTGATTGATGCCATCTATCCACTGCTCATCTTTTGCAGCGTCCAGGAAGGCCATCTTGGCCAAGATTGCCGTCCCCCATGAATGGTTGATGATTGAACACCCAATTCAAAGGGATGATTTAGGGGTACCATTTTAGGACACCACCCAAATGGCCATCAATTGATGGAAGGTAATCCCCATTTTCAGACAAATTCCATCGGTTTGTTCATGTTTATCATCATTTTCCCCGTCAATAAATATAATACATGGCTACACATAATGGGCAAATCCCCCATTTCTGGACTTAAAACCATTTGTGACATGGTCAGGTTTGGACTCGGTTGGATCAAGCCAGTCCTTGTTTGGTCCTCAATCCTTAGTTGGGCAAAAACCCAACTATATACTGGTAGTAGGAATTTCCATGAAGTGGGATGAATGGCAATTTATGCCATATTATGTTTCACCATGGCCATCGACCCGGTTAACAGTGTTGATTCCCAGCTACCCCCATGTTGAATTGTTAGTTGAATCCCATGTTTGTCAGCTATAAGGTCCAGTGTCCCATATATAAATTATACATATATTACAACTGTCCTCAACTGACTATGACATTCAAAAATATATCAGTTGACATAAAAAAAAATGTGAAAGGTCACCATTTCATTCTTAATCTCTGCAACCAAAATCGATACGCGTATTTGTTTGGATGCAGATGTGAGGCTACATCGACGGCACTCACTGGCGTGCACCTTGGATTAAGAGAGCCGGTTGATGGTGGAAACCTCCTCGCAATCATATCAACGAGATCAACCAGCTTTATCAATGAGATCAACCATCATCAACAGCGCATCAAACATTTGAGTTAGATAAACCAACGTACTGTTCTGAAGATTACCTCAAAGAATTGCATCTGCGCACCAACGCTGGCTAGGCCCTTTAGGCCCTTTAGGCGAGGTGTGTAGACTTCTCATGACTTGTCATCTCAGCGCCGCATTGGGATAGATTGTGGATATTTAGTTTCATATGAGACATCTGAGACATGCTTGGAAATAATCTGAAATATATATGACATATAATGTATGCGAGATGCTACCGTAACCGGCCGTAACCCATCATGTATACGCCCACAGTTGGCTAGTAGGGAGCTACACAATTTGATAAAAGGTGGTACTGTACTTCCTCCGATTTTTTAACCAACAGAGTTTATGAATCAGGGTTGATATTGTCAAGCAGCTCAATAATCATGGGGTTGTCCCTACAGAGGTATTTGCCAAGCAGGGGAACATGACGACCAACCACCAGATATTAGGTACTTTACACTATGTTCAGACATATCCATAATGTGGGGATGGGTCAAAAAACATTTTATTACCATATTTGGGGAATAAACATCCATTAGCCAACTATTTTCAGTTACCCAAGGTGCAGGGTGCCCCAACGGTGCAGTGACATCGGGAATGATCGGAAAGGGGTAAATGTTCATGACACAGACGTCCATTTCTCATCATTTCTCACTGGTAAACAAACCGGATCTTGCAAATCTGAGATTGTTTGTTTATATTTGAAAGATGTAAGATCCAACATTGATGTTCGTAATGTAAGATCCAACATTGTTAGCAAATCAATTCTCAAATGTTTGCTCAACATTGTTCATCTTTGAGATGGTGATCCTCACTGCATCCCAGGAGATTTCGCGGAGCTGTGAGATGTACAAAAAGCACGAGGTTTCCGGCCCTGTGAGAATGGTATGAAACTGAAACTCCCAAAGGCTTAAACATCATAACCAAAGAGACTTAAAGAAATGTCTACAAAATCCCCAGCTGTTTTTTGGTTTTTCCATGATTTAAAGTCAACTTCAACATAGGAATGTACAGCCAACAATGATGCTAGCAGCTTTGGATGGTTTATATAGATCAGTCATAGATATGCTATGATATGCTTATAGTTGGATATGGCACATTTTTATGCGCTATAAATTACAGTAATACATACCAATAGGCTCAATGGATCTACCAGGTCTACCATTCATCGTGCCGGCGTGTGTCCGCCCAGGAGAATGCGAAGGATCCCTCGCGCGGCTATGGCACCTCCGAGCTGATGAACTTCCAGGGCGTGACGGATCCCAATCGCATTCGATGCTCGCATGCCATGGCGAGCTATATGTTGTGAGGATATAATGGTAGTATTAGCCATGGCTATACGCCAAAGAAGTGATATAACATGATATGTTTCGATATATAACGGGGAGATGGGGATGTCAGGGGTGCAATGGGTATTTCGAATGATCTTGCTGGTGGCTTCACAGATGTTTTTCAAACCCATTTTAATGGGAGGACCATCCCGAGTGACACTTGTCGCACATCCACTGCGGAAGAATATGTACAAACTACATCAAACTACCCCAGCTGGAATACACAGAAAACATCTGCACAAATTGGGTGCAACCGAGCTCCTGAGCATCACACAACACAAACTAAAAGCTGGTGAGGGTAAAAGGCCACTCAGCCAACCATCCTCCTGTATCTCAAGCCCGGATCTTATAATAAACGTCTTGGGTTGATCCTGGATGTAGGGTACCATTCCAAAGTATAATATGGTGTAAAACAATGTCAAAAACCACCCATTTGGGAATGGTTTATACAACCTATTTACGGTGATTTGGGGATGGTTTATGGCATCGTTTTACCCACATGGCAGTGGTTTCATCAACCGATGGCAGGGACATCATGGCCACATGGATGATAAGTTCAAATGGGAAGTGCGTAAAATTACCTCCCCCCATAGCCCATAACTTGGAGTTCAAATTCGGCATTAGCAATTATATATATATATAATTATAGTTATATATATTGTAAATAATAAATCATAAACATCCTATTATACTGTAATGTTAAGCACCATGTCTACATCGATTATCTCCAACTTGGTAAATGGTTTGCAAGCCATGTGCAAATCATGTCCTAGCTTCCTACCTTCGCATCCACGGCAGCACGCCTCGCAGCACGAAGGAAATGTCTTCATGCACAAGATGTTGGTTTCAGCCGCCTGGCGAATCTAAAAAGACCCGAAACCATGGTTCCCAGGTGCCAAAGCAATTTTTTGGTGACCCCTGCATGGGCATCCCAGGTATCGTATAATTATATATATATATATATATTAGCACGTCGCTCTAGCACGTTTTTGAGGGGTCTCTTTAGAGCCTATGTCTGCCTCCATTTTCTGCATTACTCTCCCCTTAACTTTCTCCATTTTCTGCATTACTGTCCCCTTAACTGCCTCCATTTTCTGCATTACTGTCCCCTTAACTTCCTCATTTTTTGCATTACTGTCCCCTTAACTTTCTCCATTTTCTGCACTACTGTCCCCTTAACTGCCTCCATTTCCTGCATTACTGTCCCCTTAACTGCCTCCATTTTTTGCATTGCTGCCCCCTTAACTTTCTCCATTTCCTGCATTACTGTCCCTTTCTCCATTTTCTGCATTACTGTTTCTCCATTTTCTGCATTACTGTCCCCTTAACTTTCTTCATTTTCTGCATTACTGTCCCCTTAACTTTCTCCATTTTCTGCATTACTGTCCCCTTAACTGCCTCCATTTCCTGCATGACTGTCCCCACTTCCACTGCATTACCGTTCCCTTAACTTTCTCCATTTTCTGCATTACTGTCCCCTTAACTTTCTCCATTTCCTGCATTACTGTCCCCTTAACTGCCTCCATTTCCTGCTGTTCCCTTAACTTTCTCCATTTTCTGCATTACTGTCTCCTTAACTTTCCCATTTTTGCATTACTGTCCCCTTTGCCTCCATTTTTTACTGTCCCCTTAACTTTCTTTATTTTCTGCATGACTGTCCCCTTAACTTTCTCCATTTTCTGCATTACTGTCCCCTTAACTTTCTCCATTTTCTGCATTACTGTCCCCTTAACTGCCTCCATTTCCTGCATGACTGTCCCCTTAACTGCCTCCATTTCCTGCGTTACCGTTCCCTTAACTTTCTCCATTTTCTGCATTACTGTCTCCTTAACTTTCTCCATTTTCTGCATTACTGTCCCCTTAACTGCCTCCATTTCCTGCATTACTGTCCCCTTAACTTTCTTTATTTTCTGCATGACTGTCCCCTTAACTTTCTCCATTTTCTGCATTACTGTCCCCTTAGCTGCCTAACTTTTTCCATTTTCTGCATTATTGTCCCCTTAGCTTTCTCCATTTTCTGCATTACTGTCCCCTTAACTGCCTCCATTTTCTGCATTACTGTCCCCTTAACTTTCTCCATATTCTGCATTACTGTCCCCTTAACTTTCTCCATTTTCTGCATTACTGTCCCCTTAACTGCCTCCATTTTCTGCATTACTGTCCCCTTAACTTTCACCATTTTCTGGAAAGTTAATGGAACAATAGTGGAAAGTTAAGGGAACAATAATGGAAAGTCAAGGGAACGGTTAAGTGAACAACAATGGACAGTTAAGGGAACAATAATGGAAAATTAAGGGAACAATAACGGATAAAGAAAACGTGTTATAGTAACATCCTAAAATTTAATATATATATATATATATATTATAATATATTAGATTATATATATTATATATTATATATTATATATATATATATGATAGTTGGGTGGTTCAAATTATGCATTGGCTTTCAACGGTGTCCGCACCGGCTTCATGCTTTTTCGATGAGGACTTTGCATGTTTTCGAGATGGATTTGTTCCACCTCTGAGATCCTTTGAGGTCATTGACTTCTTGAAAGCCTTCTCTGCGCTAGCGGATGGCGACAGCAAGGTGGGATCAAAATTTTAGCCGAAGGGACCACAGGTTAGATGTTTAGTATTCACCATCTAAAGTATTGGGTACTAAATTTTGACCTGTGCCCCTTTTTTTTGGGCAGAAGGGGACACCCTGGGAGTGCGCGTTGTTAGGTGTTTTTATGCAAGTGTGATGGGTAAGTTTGCTCTTTACAATCTCACCTTAGTTTCTTGTGTTTTTGTTTGTTTGGTTTGTTGATGTTCTGGTTCGTTGTTTGTTTTTGTGAAGGGCTGGCAAATCAACACAAGACTGGCAGGACCTAACTCTTTGCCTTCTCCCAACTTAGGGGTTGCAAATTTGTTTTAGGTTGTTTTATTTTTTGTCTTGGGTCTGTGGTTCCATTTGAAAACCATGTAAAAACCACATAGACAACATGCAAAGATGCAGGAATCAGTGGGGGAAGCTTAGGGGCTTGGGACATGGATTAGGCAATTATTTTTCAACATGTGTCAAAAACTGTGCAAAACATAGGCAACCAATGCATTTGCAAAACTGATTTGGATATTGACATTGTTCAGTGAACCCCTGAAGTCAACACATGTTCAAGCATTTTAAATGATTCCCTTGAAAGGAGTGATGCATCTCTTTGAAATGGTGGCTCCTTTCACCCTTTGCATTTCTTTTCAAATCGTAGAACATTCCATTGAAGTGGGACATGATAGGACATGTTTACTTCTATGTAAAACAAATGAACCCTCTTGCGCATGCAATGCATTTCACAATAGTTATAGTGTTGTTGTTTTTTTAATGAATAAAACATGGTATATGTAAGCATGTACAATACATCCTTCAAATTTGTACATTGTACATCATTTCTCTAAATACATAATATATGATATTTATCAAGACAAGGAACCATATGTTTAGAATAACACCCTTGGATGTAGGGAGCTCTCCCCTTATAACGTATTGTAATTTGACGAATTTGCATTTTTAAATCGCAAGGCAATGAAACATCGTTTGAACATATAGTATATTGCAATATATTGCATACATGCAGCACTCTTTTGAAAGAGTACAGTCGTCCTTGAATTAGTTATGTTGTTTTGTCCAGCACCCCCTTGATATGAGATGCCCCAGTGTGACTGATGCTTACTCATGGTTGGAAATGATGATCCCACGTGGGTTTGACTCCAAATATTCTACTCCTCAATTTGAGTTGTACCATCATTTCCCCAACCAAAAAAACATGACATGAGGCAATTCTACCATGCTTGTACACAGCCAATAGCCAATGTTCTTGGGATGGGTACCATCCAAAGAACATATGGACAGTTATGGACATGTTCCATCTGGATATGATTTAGCCATTTACCTATTCAACATGGTGGTTTTCCACAGCTATTTTGGATTGCCAGAAGGTCAGGATTGAACCCACCTGTCGTCCCAAAGAGACCAAACAAATGCCTTCCACGCAGGAGTTGTGTACCCGAGTCTCGCAGGCGGGGAAACCGAGGCAGTAGCCATGAATTTAGAGGTACTAACCATTAGGATGTTTATATCACGTGGGCTATTAGGATTGACATGTCATAATTATGATTTGACTAGCCAGTTATCACAATTAGTATATTTATCATTCATACGAACATATACAAACCATTTCCCTCATTTCTCCCAAACTAGACCATGTTTGATGATACCAGAGGATATCCAGTAATATCCCATTAATCTTCTATTGACATTTCATGGTTGTATTCCAATTATAAAGCCATGTTTGTTGGTTCAATGAATGACGAAACAAAAAACAAACAATGAGAATGTCAATGGAATATCAACGGAAATAAAAAACATATTCTTATTACTTATTTACTTTATTTTCTATTCATCACCATGGGAATGACTTTTGAAACAGCACGGACCAGGTCTTCAATGAGATGGGACGCGAGAGCGTACTCTTCAAGCTGCTTCAGGTGCTCGGCCAATCCGCCAATCCGCCGGCGGCAGCGTTTTTTCCCGAGAGCGTTTGAGCGCAGGGTTCTTCCAATAGTGGGGGTCTGTATCTCATCTTCTCATCTTCACACCTTCTCATCTTCACACCTTCTCATCTTCACATCTTCTCATCTTCACACCTTCTCATCTTCACACCTGCTCATCTTGACATCTGCTCATCTTCACATCTGCTCAACATCTGCTCATCTTCATCTTCACTTCATCTTCACACCTGTTCATCTTCACATCTGCTCATCTTCACATCTGCTCATCTTCACATCTGCTCATCTTCACATCTGCTCATCTTCACATCTGCTCATCTTCACATCTGCTCATCTTCACATCTGCTCATCTTCACATCTGCTCATCTTCACATCTGCTCATCTTCACATCTGCTCTTCACATCTGCTCATCTTCACATCTGCTCATCTTCACATCTTCACATCTGCTCATCTTCATCTTCACATCTGCTCATCTTCATCTTCACATCTGCTCATCTTCACACCTCATCTTCACATCTTCACATCTGCTCATCTTCACATCTGCTCATCTTCACATCTGCTCATCTTCACATCTGCTCATCTTCACATCTGCTCATCTTCACATCTTCACATCTGGCTCATCTTCACATCTGCTCATCTTCACATCTTCTCTCTCTCCTCTCTCTCTCTCTCCTTTTTCTCTCTCTCGCCTTCTTTATCTTTCTCTCTTTAGGCCGAGGGTGGCACCGGCGGTGAGTCACGAAACGTCAACCCTTTCGCACGAAATGAGGGTCGATCGGCAAAAACTGAGGTAAAATTGCGATTTGACTTGTGCCGGAGCAACCCTTTCGCACGAAATGCGGGTCGATCGGCAAAAACTGAGGTAAAATTGCGATTTGACTTGTGCCGGAGCAACCCTTTCGCACGAAATGAGGGTCGATCGGCAAAAACTGAGGTAAAATTACGATTTGACTTGTGCCGGAGCAACCCTTTCGCACGAAATGATGTTCGATCGGCAAAAACTGAGGTAAAATTGCGATTTGACTTGTGCCGGAGCAACCCTTTCGCACGAAATGAGGGTCGATCGGCAAAAACTGAGGTAAAATTGCGATTTAACTTGTCCTGGAGCAACCCTTTCGCACGAAATGAGGGTCGATCGGCAAAAACTGAGGTAAAATTGCGATTTTTCGTGTGCTGGAGCAACCCTTTCGCACGAAATGAAGGTCGATCGGCAAAAACTGAGGTAAAATTGCGATTTATCGTGTGCTGGAGTAACCCTTTCGCAGGAAAAGGGGTTTGTGTGTACGAGCGTTTCTGTGTAAAGATGTTTGTGTGTAAAAGTGTTTGTGTGTACAAGTGCATCTGTGTAAAAGTGTTGTGTGTAAAACCTTCTGTGTGTAAAAGTCTTTGTGTGTAAACGGGTTTGTGTGTACGAGTGTTTCAGTGTAAAGATGTTGGTGTGTATAAGTGATTGTATGTAAAATTCCATCTGTTTAAACGTGATTGTTTGAGGGAATAGGATGGTTCCCCCACCCTGGCTGGGGGCCAGGTCGGTTCTTTGCCTGACTCAACGCCGTCGTGACAATTGAATTTGAAAATGAAGTGCACCAGCATGAGTCAACCAGAACTGTCTGAGACTTGCTGATGCACGCATCTTTGCTTGAGACGTTCAGTTTCACCATAGTGCATCCTGTCTCACCATAGTGCATCGGCGTGAGTCAAGCAGAACGGTCTGAGACTCCATAGAAGAGCAATAAAGCTGCCGATTCCTTTTGCGCATATAGTTGTTGGTCTGTGCAGCTAGGTTTGCATGGAGTCAGGGCCCCGGGATGGGATGGATTACATGGATAGGCAGGCTGCTACCACAAAGAGACAAATCGATGTATTTTATATTGAGATATAGAGATATGATATAAAGATGGATGTATGACTGTTAATATCTAGAGATGGATGTATGAGTGTTAAGATAAGAGTTTCCATTCCAGTCACAGTCAGGAGTCAGGACCCTAAACCCAAAAAGAACCAACTTATATCATATTGTAATACTGTGTGTGTCCCAGCCCAGAAACGGTCGCCGCCTGCCAGGTCCGCCCGTTTATACTTCTTTTTGGGGAGATGGCAAACCACCTTGGTTGGGGGGCCCCAAAGCACATAGCCCTCATGACATGTTTATACATGCTGGTTTCGAGTCACATCGAAATAGGACTTCGCCACACCACCCCGTCGGATTGCTGAGGTGGCCACGACAACGATGCCTTCGCTGTGATTACATGGGCCGGCCTGTGTGTAAAAGCGTCTGTGTGTACAAGTGATTGTGTGTAAAAGCGCTTGTGTGTAAAGCCGTCTGTGTGTAAAAGCGTCTGTGTGTAAAAGCGTTTCTGCGTAAAAGTGTTTGTGTGTAGAAGCTTCTGTGTGCACAAGCGTCTGCGTGTTAAAGCGTCTGTGTGTAAAAGTGTTTGTGTGTAAAAGTGTTTGTGTGTAAAAGTGCCTGTGTGTAAAAGCGTCTATGTGTAAAAGCTTCTGTGTGTCAAAGCGTTTGTGTGTAAAAGCAGCTCCTGTGTGTAAAAGAGTCTGTGTGTAAAAGTGTCTGTGTGTAAACGTGTCTGTGTGTAAAAGTGTCTGTGTAAAAGCGTCTGTGTGTAAAAGCTTCCATATGTAAAAGCTTCTGTATGTAAAAGCTTCTGTGGGTAAAAGCTTTGTGTGTAAAAGCCTCTGTGTAAAAGCTTCTGTGTGTAAAAGCTTGTGTGTGTAAAAGCGTCTGTGTGTAAAAGCGTCTGTGTGTAAAAGCTTCTGTGTGTAAAAGTGTTTGCGATGCAAACTATTGTCTTGCACTTCTCACTATTTTGTCTTGATACTCCTCTTCTCGACTGCCTATAACACATCTTTCATATATTGTTTGTAGAAATGTGTCTCCATACTAACAAGAGAAGACCCTGCTCCACTACGCTCTCGGGCCATCCGTCGTCTAGTTTTTGGGGAAAAGTTGGAGAATGGAGGGTTTTCAGAGGGAAATCATTGAAGCATGCAGATTTTCATGGGCAAAATGACATGGTTTTACGGTTTTGCCCTCTGTGAATGGTGATATGTCATGGGTATACTGGGATATACTCCCTGGATGTTGGTGCAATGTTCATGAATTTTGGCGAATGTAAGTGGGATATAACCAATAATATGTGAGGCCCCAGTTTGTGATAGTTAAGTCGGTTTATAAATGTGTCAAAAATTGGTGGGGGTATAGATAGATATAACATGATATAACTTTTTTTCTTATAAGCCAACTTACAACTGTGGGACCCACCTTGTAATATGATCGTAAACGTAGTAAATATATATATATATATATACAAATGCCAGAAACACAAAACCAGAAAGCCTAATTGGTAATCAAAATTGGTATGATTGGGTATGGTTTGATACACCCAAAGATGGGCAGTGTCAGCGGGGTACGAAGTATGTAACTATAGATTTTTGGGGGTGAATCGATGGTGGCAATTAACAAATCCATGAAAATCCTGGACAAAATTGTAGATGATGTACTGCATCTACTATATCTGCTAGAGACTGTGATTTCATGGAGATTTTTCCGTTCCCTACGTTGTATGACTGCAGGGTGCGCTGCATCCAGATTCTGAGCCGAAATGGTTGTTGTTTACGAGCTCAAATCCCAGAATCCTTCCTTGGACATCCCAGTTACATCCACAAAGTTTGTGGTCCTGCTAAGAGTCGGTTGTCCAACTAGGCTTGGCCCACTTGCAACTGGCTTTCCCGATCTCATCCCCATCATTGACAGGTTCACCATGTTTGCGACCAGTTGTGACCATTGAGACAAAAATTCCCCGTTCTTGCTGATATCCCATTGTTTTATCATGTTCTCATAACACATATGGCAGATAAAATGGCAGTTTCCCAAGCCGGCTACCCCCAGTTCTCATCTCGTCATGGAGGTGCCGAGCACGGAGGTACAGGAGAGCACTGAGCTTGTTGTGAGCATTGTGAGCCACTGGATCATGGATACACCTGGTGATTTAAAGGGATATGCAATGGGAATATATACCGGTAATGCATTCATGAGATATTAAGAATTAATAATACAACCAGTTTGAATGAGTTTAAGATTCTTTTTTCGAATCTGAGCACGCATAATCGGAGGGATGATCATAGAAGTTCTATGAAGTTCTGCAAATTGGATGTTGGATGCAACAATATTCTTTTGTGGATAGCTGGTATACATACTGTATATACCTCAAGTGGCGCTCCAGAATGAAGCAACTCGCTGTCCACCTTTTGCAAGTTGATACCACTTCAGATCACCTTATATATCTTTGTTGGTTTTATCATGTTTTCTCATGTGTTTCTGTCAAGTGCAAGATGTTGTGGATACCCCATTCACTTAGCCTGAAAGAACTCCTATATCATTTTCCCAAATTTTATTCAGGACATTTCTTATGGTACCCCCTATTTTGTGGGTGATCAAAACGACAACGGTTTCTGCAAAGTGGTTGGTAAAATCATCATTCTTGGTGTGTGTGTGTGATATGCACCATTTTCTACTAGGTGGTGACCCTTCCCCACCGCAGTTGTAATTTGGTTTATGAAGCACATTAACTATTATAGATATATTACATACATCATATATCTATCCTCATGGATCCAAATGCCTTCTCAGATGGTACTTGACCCCCAAATCATACCCAAATCACTTTCTCAGAAAAGCATCTGGACCCATAGGGTATTACAAGAAACATCAACAAAACAATAGTTAACCTAGTTATGTTCGCCAACTTCTAGTTGGTTTCCTTCCACATTTCCCACAGCACACAGGAGGCGGTGATGGGTTGCCTGCAGTACGCGCGATTGGAAGAGTTGGACGACGAAGAGGTCCTTTCGATTCCAATCGGATGGGCGCCGTGGAATCTGGGAATTTCCAACCATCACAATCCCAGATGCTCCATGGTGCTGGAATATTTACCTACATTTACCACACCAAAACATATTTTAAAAAATGGTCTAAATGTAGGTAAATATTCCAGACATGGAGCATCTGGGATTTTTTTGGTAAATTCTAGGGAATTTGTTTTTTTTGGGAGTTTACCATCGAAAATGATCAAACATGGGGTTTTAACCATGGTGATACAACCAATCATAATCGAAGGAAGTTTAGAAGTCAAACTTCCGACAGTATGGACAGATGAAAAGCAGAGCAGGGAAGAGGCAGAGAGAAGAGGAAGATTAGAAGAACGAAGAATAGAAGAGAAAGAGTAAGAAGAAAGAAGATGCAGATGCGCGAAAAGGTAGGAAAGTCGCGAAACACTGTGTTTTTCCAATGATTTGTGGCTCCGGAGGGTCGAAAAGTAGGCTCGCTAAAGCGGCGGGTGCGGAGCCAGCTGGCCAGACGAGAGATGAAAAAGTGCACGCCGTTGTGGCGCGAAGCACATTTCCAAGTCAAAATGTACAAAACACCACATGTTCGCGCCACTTTTGGAGGTTCGGATGTTGAAAAAGTGCACGCCGTTGTGGCGCGAAGCACATTTCCAAGTCAAAATGTACAAAACACCACATGTTCGCGCCACTTTTGGAGGTTCGGATGTTGGAAAAGTGCACGCCGTTGTGGCGCGAAGCACATTTCCAAGTCAAAATGTTAAAAGCACCAGGGGTTCGGACCACTTTTGGAGGTTCAGATGTCGCTGCGCTTCAAGACACTACACTACAGGACATTACACTACACTACACGCCAGTACATTACATTACACTACATTACACTCCAGTACACTCCACTACACTAAATTACACTACACTACATTACACTGAATGACACTGCAGCAAAGATAGACAGGTAGACAGCTAGACAGATAGACAGATGAAAGGGAGAGATAGATAGACAGGTAGGTAGGTAGATAGATAGATAGATACATTACACTGCACTACACTACATTCCACTACACTCCACTACACTACACTACAGTACACTAGATAGACTACATTAGACTGGATGACACTGCACCATAGATAGACAGGTAGACAGATAGACAGACAAACAAATAGATAGATAGATAGATAGACAGGTAGACAGGTAGACAGCTAGACAGATAGACGGATGAAAAAGAGAGAGAGAGAGATAGATAGATAGATAGATCGATCGCTGGATAGATACATAGAAAATAGATAGGTAGCTTAGGTAGGTAGATAGGCAGAGAAAGAGAGAGAGAAAGAGTGAGAGAGATCAAGCACCTTTCAATCCATCAGTGGCTTCGCTCTGGCATCCTTGATTCACAACAACCAACCTCTCCTATAGGTTTCCTATTTTTGAAACTTCCGCCACCGCCTTGTGCGGTACTACTGGTATAATGACAAATGACAACGACCTCACGTCGCGACGTCACTGGAATGATAGGAACTGGCTTTGGAGAATTATCCCCGAATTGCCTTATCATTTTGGTCTGCCTGCAAAAGGATACACCCCCATTTTTGGGCAAGCACAACTATCAACCTTCACAATTTGCCATGACCGAGGCAGGACTGAAATGGAACGTTGGAATATGTGCTTAGCGGCACTTGGAAATGGCCAAACACAGAGGAGAAATATATGGTTCCATGTTACGTGTCAGGGCTCCTTGATTTTTGTGAAGATTTCGGCTCGGCTCTGTGGTGAGTGTGTAATTTTGAACGAATGTCCGGTGCACAACATGGCTACGTGGATCCATCATCTAACAAAGGTGCAGCAGATGAGACTGATGAGGTCGATCTTCAGGTGCTGTGCTTGACCGGAGAAGCAGTAACATTAAGCGCCCCTGGCTCCATGCTTGGGTATGACCTGCGCAGATTGGTGTCGGAGAAACTTCCATGCAAGCCAGGCGCAAAGCTCGCCGTGCATCATGTGAATCAACAGCTGACGCTGGATCAAAACTTGGGAGAGCAGGAAATTACTAGAGAATCGGCAGTGCTGTCCTGCACTTACATACCAACAAACGTGTATACAGCATGGCGTTATGTCCGGGGGCTTCCAAATGGTGAGAGACAGTTTGCGCTAGAAGGTGTTACAAAACTTGAAGGAGCAAAGCACGGAGACTATTTACATCATCTGCCCCGCAGCCTTGAAAGATTGGCTTTTGGCTATCACTTCGACCAAAGCCTGGAGCGGGTGACCTTGCCATCGAGTCTTCAAAGCTTGAGTTTTGGCGATTGCTTCAACCAAAGCCTGGAGCGGGTGGCCTTGCCATCGAGTCTTCAAAGCTTGACTTTTGGCAATGGCTTCAACCAAAGCCTGGAGCGGGTGACCTTGCCATCGAGTCTTCAAAACTTGAGTTTTGGCGAAGGCTTCAACCAAAGCCTGGAGCGGGTGGCCTTGCCATCGAGTCTTCAAAGCTTAAGTTTTGGCAAGAAAATCAACCAAAGCCTGGAGCACGTGACCTTGCCATCGAGTCTTCAAAGCTTGAGTTTTGGCGACAAATTCAACCAAAGCCTGGAGCGGGTGACCCTGCCATCGAGTCTTCAAAGCTTAAGTGTTGGCGCTTTCTTAAACCAAAGCCTGGAGCGGGTGACCTTGCCATCGAGTCTTCAAAGCTTGAGTTTTGGCGATAGCTTCAACGAAAGCCTGGAGCGGGCGACCCTGCCGTCGAGTCTTCAAAGCTTAAGTTTTGGCGCTTTCTTCAACAAAAGCCTAGAGCGGGTGACCTTGCCATCGAGTCTTCAAAGCTTGAGTTTCGGCGAGAAATTCAACCAAAGCCTGGAGCGGGTGACCCTGCCATCGACTCTGCAAAGCTTGAGTTTTGGCTATCACTTCGACCAAAGCCTGGAGCGGGTGACCTTGCCATCGAGTCTTCAAAGCTTAAGTTTTGGCGCTTTCGGGAACCAAAGCCTGGAGCGGGTGACCTTGCCATCGAGTCTTCAAAGCTTAAGTTTTGGCGCTTTCTTCAACCAAAGCCTGGAGCGAGTGACCTTGCCATCGAGTCTTCAAAGCTTGAGTTTTGGCGATTGCTTCAACAAAAGCCTGAAGCGGGTGAGCTTGCCATCGAGTCTTCAAAACTTGACTTTTGGCGATGGCTTCAACCAAAGCCTGGAGCGGGTGACCTTGCCATCGAGTCTTCAAAGCTTGAGTTTTGGCGAAGGCTTCAACCAAAGCCTGGAGCGGGTGGCCTTGCCATCGAGTCTTCAAAGCTTAAGTTTTGGCTATCACTTCGACCAAAGCCTGGAGCGGGTGACCTTGCCATCGAGTCTTCAAAGCTTGAGTTTTGGCGATTGTTTCAACCAAAGCCTGGAGCGGGTGAGCTTGCCATCGAGTCTTCAAAGCTTGACTTTTGGCGATGGCTTCAACCAAAGGCTGGAGCGGGTGACCTTGCCATCGAGTCTTCAAAGCTTGAGTTTTGGCTATCACTTCGACCAAAGCCTGGAGCGGGTGACCTTGCCATCGAGTCTTCAAAGCTTGAGTTTTGGCGATTGTTTCAACCAAAGCCTGGAGCGGGTGACCCTGCCATCGAGTCTTCAAAACTTGACTTTTGGCGATGGCTTCAACAAAAGCCTGGAGCGGGTGACCTTGCCATCGAGTCTTCAAAGCTTAAGTTTTGGCGCTTTCTTCAGCCAAAGCCAGCTGGAGAGGGTGACCTTGCCATCGAGCCTCCATTGCTTCAGTTGCTTCAGTTCTCTCCATCGGATCTCTGTCAGCTCTGCCATTTGCGTTTGATTTGTCGGAGCTATTCGCGAATATAATCCCCAATGAAGATTCCTGAGCAAAAGAGGCTTGCTTTGCCAGGGATGGGTGAGGGGTCCAACCTCGGGTGCTTGAGGCATCTTGAGGCGACCCGAACCAGAACCAGTTAATTTTGTAGAAGCATTTCCTCCTCTCGTTGATGGTCTTTTTAATGAATCCCCATGGTTCCCCCCAGACTTTGGAAACTTTGCACGCATAATTTTGTAGAAGAGTTGATGTTGGCTCTGATTTGTCGTGGAGCAAAATGTTCTGATACAAGGAAGACAGAAGAAGGAGGGAAGGAGAGAAGGAGGGAAGGAGTGAGCAAGACAAGGAAGGAGGAGTTGCACCTTTGTTAGAATCCACAGGAATGGCCGTAAGAACACTTTGAAACCACATCAATTAAATGAGTGCCTGCAGGCATGACTTAGGCGTGAGTTTCTCGCTTGCCTGTAGAGACCCAACGTAACTCAATGTTGGATAGGAAGTTCTGCTGCCAGCACTTGAGTAGGCATGTGAGTTGATTTGAGACGATGATTTCATCAAGGGGTAGCGGTAGATGATTGCAAGAAATTTATTTTCCCTTTATATTATTTTTGGCCAAAGCCACCCTCCCCGCACAACAACCCTGAATGTGAGTGCAAATTATATGCAGTATTTGTTGCCATACCCCTCACTGGTGCGTGCACATTTTTTTACAACAGACATATTATGGAAATGGATGGAAATGAAGATATCACAGTCATAGTATTAAACTATAACTTGGAGTATTTGCTTAATGAGGTCTAACAGTGGCAATAGTTTGACCAATTCAGGTTGCGTAAAAAAGGTATGTCCCGTAGGTTATTTCCATGCAAACCGATGAGGATGAAGAACCGATAAGATCTACTTATATATGCCCATGAGAGCTGATTTACTTATTTTTCTGTTTGCAAAACAATTTTCGGCAGACGACATCCTATTCGCATCCATTTTCATGTTACTTCACCACTGAAGGTGACCAACCTTTCAAGCCCAGAGTCTTTTTCGAATGAGAAAATATGCAGGAAAGCTTTCTATTTGCTAGGCAGACCATGGTTTCAACCCCGGATTTTCCCAACCAAACCAATGAATTGATTCACCAACTGTTCGTGTCCGCGCCTCTGACGCGACCAGGTACAGCAGTTGCTTCACATGTTGAATCCAGAGATTGTCGAATCCGGCGAACGCCTGCTAGGGGCCGTGCTCAGGAATTTGATGCTCAGAGCAATGGCGAGGTGGGAGATACCCCAGGAGGTTGGGAAGTATGGTAATGGTCATGGTCAATCGGGTTTCGCATGGGAAAACGCTACTTTATGAAGATGTTCTTGCCATGTTTGAAACAATCGAGTCAGGTTACAGTGAACAACTGCATTGGATTCTGGCAGTGCCTTTACCTGAGCGTAGCTTACGGACATGCTTTGGGACTTGGTTCACAGAAGGTTGGAGATGCAGCAGGATGTACTTCAATGATTTCAGAAATCCCAAGTTAAAGCTATGTTTCAGGGATATGGTTATAGATCAATATCATTATATAAATAGATTGCTATAAATTCGTATGAGCCACGTTCAAAACTGCCGGCAATTGATTTTAGTTTTCGATAAAAATTCATGTTTGAAAATTTTAAAGAATTGAATGGCGTCACACGCGCGCAAACTTTTCACAAGCTTCGCGCAAGCTCATGTACGCGCAAGCTTCGCGCAAGCCCGAAATCACGTAGATAATTGAATCATAAATATACATGAATATACAACGAAAAGGTTTACACATCATGATGGGACGAGATGGGTGAGGAGTTCCATTGCTTCCTTGTTGCATTGTTTGATTAGTGTGTCAACCCTCTGTATTGCAAAGGTATAGTCAGTTTATTGCATATTTTGGTATATTATGAAGATCCATAAATCCTGCAGCGATTTTCATCGGATACGGGGTGCCATTGCCAATGGGCCATTGGGCCATCCCCATATTCCTGTGCCGAGGACCCAGTTCCTGGAGAAGGATGGAGAGGCCGCAGACAAGTTCCGACGGAATCACACCCGGAGCGTCACTCGGCTGGATGGCTTCTGCTGTGTACATGGGAACATGAACTCCCAGCCTGGGTCAACGGACCAAACATGGGAAATCCTCCAAACAAGGGCATTTAAGTATGACAATCATCAATAAATTCATATAAATTCCATAAATATCCATAAATGGTGGATTTTCCATTGCCATGTTTGATTGCCAGAGGGTAAGCATACAATCAAGTGAGATGTAAAATCATGATACTAAGGAATGGCCTCAACCCCGTCTTTTGAAGCAGAATGTGCTGCTGTCGAACACGGCCCAGGTGATCGATCGCACCTTCAAAGTCCTTTGTACCAACTGTTCCCGAGAGACCTTCGGAAACCCGGATGAGGAGGTTCCCTAAGCTGCAGCCTGGTGAATCATGTGAATCACCTTTCGTTGGAAGATTTTCCCATCACAACCAGCTAGATATACATATATATATATATATATATATATATGTTTTTCTTCAAATATATTTCCGTGGATTTCCCTTAAATCCAAGCTGGCATCTGGCAATCCAAAAATCCACCATAGTTTTGTTGCTTAACATGCCATTAATTAGGCCATTTTTATTCCAGGAACAAAAGATCACCCTCAGCGAGCAGTGCGTTCAAGTGCTGATTACCGCCTCCTTCCAGCCTCTGCTCCGGCGACATCTTCGGGGGGAGGCTGGAAATGTTGGGGAAATGGTGGTATAATCGGGATATCATGGGAATATAGTATGGGACAGTATTTGATATATATATATATATATATATATATGGCAGTGTGTCAAAACCTTGTACCCCTGTAGTTCACATCAAAATAGCTGGGATTTATGGATGTCCATTCCCCTAAAAATGGTATTAATAGGTATTGATCCATAGCCATATGGATTGGGATGTTCCAATCCGAGCCTTGGGGGTCGAAGAATCACCCAGCCATGGTGCTGATAAATATGGATACATGAAACCTCCAAAATGGCTCATGTGTCCCAAGCACTCAAGATATATTATACATGTTTAGCGTGCTTGCAGCATATGGAAAGATAAAAGGACTGATTGATGAATTGTATTTTCTTGATGGCGACAACATTTTGAGCTGTGCAGTCCGCAGTCCCCAGCCGCCATGAGCCCTGCCACGTGAGGTGGCAAAAGATTTCCTGAAGATGCTGAAGGATCATGCACCTTTGTTAAATCACTGGCCTGGGTCAATGTTGTGATTCATAATATTCAATAGAAAAGCCAAATCCTGCAAAACATAGTATATGATAGTATATGCGTCCATCTTTTTGCGGGGTTCCTCTTATGTAATTGTGAGCCCCTCTGAAACGACCGTAGATGAAGCAATCCGTCAAAGTTTGAGCGGGAACTTCCCTGTGTTCCACAGAGGAGCATCATGGATTTGAAGGGAAGTCAGCAGTTCCACATGTTTTCTTCACCAGGGCTCCGCAAGCAGCACATAGGGTTTTTTTGGGTGCAAACTGCTGCAGATGGGCACTGATGTGCCAGACGATGTTGAAATAGATGGAACCAAGATACATCACAGATACATCTCTGCAAACTCAAAGGATTGAGGGCCCCAACTGTCCATTTTTGTCGCAGAAACTGTGGAATGCAATTGCCAAGCTCTGGCTCTGCGACGGTACCCCAATGTGATAGAGTCGCATACAGTCAGCTGCCATACCAACCAGAAATCATTTCACTTTATGGCAATTTCAATGGAGAACATGATCTTCTAAGCCATTATTTTGATTGTTTATTTATTACCTTTCGATTTTAATGGATGGTTTATGATGTTGCCAGTTCATAAGTCCTTTGTATGGTACCTTATGTTTCACAAAAAATACCCAACCTAACCATCAAATATATCCGCAGGTTGATTGGTATTATAATGGGTTCTGCTACCTGTGGATTGTTACAACCCGTTTCATAGGGCCAATTTTTGACCAACCATACCAGCTGGTAGTATAATAACTCCCTATGATGAATTCATCTTATCCCATCATGCTAAGATCCAACTCAATTATCATCATGATGAGTCTCATGAGTCATCCACTTCTAGTTAATCCATGTTTAGTCTATGTTGATATATAATGGCTATGTTCATAGTCCCAGTGAATCTATGGCTATTTCATGGTGCCCTGGCTCCTCATGGCTCATCCGTTTTCATACCGCTGCCGGTAGTACAACCCATAGTTCCCTATAGTTATAGTATGTTATAATGAGTTATAATCCATATAACATCATATAACCCTTTATCTCAAGATATATTAATTTCAATTCTCCCAGGTATTTTCAGATATCTTACTCTCAGCTCTCCTAGCTATTTTCGCCTTTTTTCGCTATTTTCTATGGTCTCCTGGCCCCAGTGGCCGTTGAGGAAACGTTGGACTCGTGGAACTGCCGCGATATGAATCTGGAACTCACCTGGACGGGGCGACACTTGGACCTCCTCCTCTCGTGCCTCAACACGGTGCGCGGTCAGCAGGGCCGGGCGGGGTGGCGTTTGGAGTTGCGTCGTACGTTGCAATTAAGGGAAGATCCCCACGATATCAAGCAATTCGTGGTGAAATATCCCCAATGAGTGGATGATATTTAAGTATATGGACATATCCCCAATTGCATTTTTTTGCCCCCAATGAATGGAATATCGGGATGGTATATGAAATATAAACCACTGATGCTAAGTGGGAGGCACATCCAAGTAGGTACGAAACAATGGTGATGTAATAATGCAGATATAATATGATATAATAAAGACAACTATTGTTTTGTGGTTTGGACAACCCTTGTGCAGATATGTTATGTTACTATAACTGAAATTGTAATCATAGATGCAGATTTAGTTTGTAAACCAAATTCCAGATGCAACTAGATTATATGTAGCGGAGGGTGCTGAAACATGCCCTGAAATTATTGATTGGTAGTTTTCAGTACGGGCATGTAAAAAGTTCAGACCAAAGGGTACTTGGTTGGTCATTTTGGGGTGTTTGTTTGTTTCTTACACTTCATTTTAGTTACAGTACTGTATAGTAACTAGTAAACCGAACCCATGAATTGTGTGCTCTCCTTTTTTTTGTCCTGATGATCATGTTATGTTGTGTCATTGATGGAGCAGACCCTTCCAAAATGTCATGTTCATTTGAACATCATATGAATAACAATGTCAATTGATGGAGCATGTTGTGTGCTTATTTGTTTTATGTCATGTTAGTTGATGAACGGATCATTTTTAAATAATACATTAATGTTAACATTAGTCTGATTACAGTTGTTGACACATTAGTTATTTATCATTCTGATGTTGTTCATTCCAATGTCCATGGTGCATCTAATCTTTTGACATGATCCCAGCACTCGTGGGATGCGCGCCTTGACCGCACCAAAAAAGCAGGGTTTTCTTGGCAGCCGCTCGACTTTTTTGGTCCCCCCAAAAGTGCCTGAAACACCGTTGTGAACTATTTATGACTTATGAAAATATATAAGTGCTATATAGATATAGTACAGCGATATTATATAATTGTAATATTGTGTAGTTGGACCACGGCTTATAGACGGCCGTGGGTTTTGGGGGGTTTTGGGTGGTTTGGGGGGGTTTTGGGGGGGGCTGATAACGTTCTTGGCTGCCCGCCTTACAAGATATTCTCTTGGACTTGCTGCTACGCTATCCACTCTTCTCTTGCACCGTACCCTGGCACACGCTATCAACTTCTTCTTGTAACTTGCAAGACACTCTTGATTTTTGCATTGTTGTTTCTTGGGGGGGGTTGGGGGGGGTTTTGGGGGGGCTGATAACGTTCTTGGCTGCCCGCCTTACAAGATATTCTCTTGGACTTGCTGCTACGCTATCCACTCTTCTCTTGCACCGTACCCTGGCACACGCTATCAACTTCTTCTTGTAACTTGCAAGACACTCTTGATTTTTGCATTGTTGTTTCTTGGGGGGGGGGTTTTGGGGGGGCTGATAACGTTCTTGGCTGCCCGCCTTACAAGATATTCTCTTGGACTTGCTGCTACGCTATCCACTCTTCTCTTGCACCGTACCCTGGCACACGCTATCAACTTCTTCTTGTAACTTGCAAGACACTCTTGATTTTCGCATTGTTGTTTCTTGGGGGGGTTTGGGGGGGGCTGATAACGTTCTTGGCTGCCCGCCTTACAAGTTTCAATGATCCAGCAATGGATGTGGCGTCAAACAATTTTGCCGTGTTCTCCCAAAGAATTGATGTCATGCCTTGTCGATCTGCTGAAGAAATATCATGACTTTCAATGACGGCTTCATCCACTGAAACAAATAGTTTGACTGCATTGCAAAATGACAAAAAAAAACATATTTTTCCCCATCTAATTACGAGATGAAGCCGCTTTAACTAATGGCACGGCTGCGTGAAAGATCCAAAATGGACTGGAATGCTCTGACCACTGTAAATCAGCAGAAAAACAAATGCTCAGCATTGCTGGTGTGCTGAATTCCTCACGGCCGCCTGTGAGCCGTGTACCTAGTTTAATGCTTTAGTTTTTTTGCTATAGACTATAAATGGAAATAATCAGAACTATTAAACAGCAAAATAGTATTTTTTGTGGGCTATCCAAGGTTGACCATGACAAGCCCCGAAAAATCCGACTGAAATAGTGGAAATGGTGGAACATTACACTATTTGCTTGGTACTATATAATACTATAGGATACTATAGGGTTTTGGAATATTATGGGAACGAAATAGTAATATAGCAACACTGCAAAATGATGGAACATGACTTTTCTAGGTGTTTTTGCAGGCACTATATTTATAACTCTCACTCCAATCTGATCTGTATATAATCGATGGGTATCTAAGGAATATCATGAAATATCATAATATATCATCAGAATCTCATTTGATGAAGCAGGTTTTAAAGAGACGATGAAGTTGGGAAGGGACTATCATTCCCAGCTGGGATAGCAATCCACCCTCGATGATGTGAAACTGCCGCATAACTGGAAGTGGTAGATTATTTTTCAATCAGCATCTGATACCATTGCCTTGACAATTTCTTCGGGTTTCAGGTTTGCCCACCACCCTTTTTTCAAAACGAGGCGCCGATCGCTGGAAGAAGCCACGGACGCACGAAGTCGCCACGGGGCAGTATGCCTCCGGACAAATCAAGACACCGTGGGGACGTCGTGGGGTGCACGCCTGGATGTGTAGATTAGTATTGGACTAATATAATATCCATTGTAATAAGGAGTAATTGACTAATATTAGTGGAGATATTATAATACTACTTAATACTACACACTACCATTGTCCAGTATTGATATCATTAGTACCAAAATTATAAATGATATTACTGTTAATTGCAATGGATATTAATTATTATTCATATCGGACTAATGTTAATGTACTTCCATTTTTAGCAACATAAAAAATACTCGTGCCAACATTGGTGGTTTCACTTTCAGTTCTCTTTCCATTCCTAAGTATTCCTAAGTCACTTTTCAAAGTAGCCAGATCGTGTTTCACTGACTGATGTTTCTCATTCCCAAGAAGGCAATCTGGCGCAGTTGACTTCGTTGCTATAGCTGTATGTAAACTTAAAAAGCAACTTTCCAAGTGTTTTGTTGTTGTTTTTTGTTCTTCCTTCTTCTTCTTCTTCAATAGCAGATGATCATGTTTTGTTAGATCACGCGCGCGTGCGTTTGATGGGAAGAGTGGCTAAAGATGACCCCTCCACAGTCCACAGGACCTACAGCGAACAGAAAGGTTTTGGCTTCATCCGCTCCGATGGCGGGGGTGTTGTGTGTCATTGGATCATTGGATCGGGTAATGACATGTAATAACATCAAACTACACAAAATTACTATACATGTATATATATATATAATGCTTAACAATGGAACATGAATCTAAAGAATTAGAAGTCAATGCGGGTTAATGTTTCTCATCGTCAGTGTTTGATGAACATGGCTACATTCAGCTGTGAAAATCCGTGTAGCGTGGGATTCTCTACATGTCTTTGGGCGGGAATTGGAATGCAACATGTTTTTTTTTGCTCGGAGGATCGTGGCACTAAAAAAACAGAACTGCAACTCAAGAACAAAACAATGTTTTGGAAGCTGATTTTTCAGGATAGAGAACTGGAGAACTTTGATATTGATTTGGTTCATTTCAAATTCATTATATATTCTATAATTCTATATATAAAATTCTGATTTTGGTTCCAAATCATCGGAACCCCTTTTTTTCCAAATCGGCCAGGTCTGGCCGAAGACGTTTTCTTCTTGCGCACCTCGATGCCCGAGGAGTGCGCCAAACTGGCGCCGCTAACTCCGGTGATTCGAGAGGGATTGGCAAGTCGTCAATGGCTAGATATGAGCACCATAAATAAATACATGATAAATACATATATCTGGGTAAATTATAACGACCTCACTGCGACCTCACTGGAAATCATGGCTAGTAAGAGGAATCATCCCAAAATTGCCTTATTTCAGGTTAGTGAATTATTATCATTTACCCAGATATATGTATATACATATGTATATTTACATATGTATATTCATATGTATATACATAGTTGGAGATGTAGTTGTATTATGTTGTGTTCATAGTTGATACACATAAAATTCAATTTGCTTGAATTTTTTAACGACAATAAATGCCTTTCATGGTCACCCTTTGTTTGCCATGGATGCCAGGGAACGCCGTCCCATTTCTTCACTGGCCCACTGGATGCAACTGGTGAACCTTAGTTCACCTTGCTCCATAATGGTTGAAAGTCAACAGTGGTTATATGATCATGCAATTATTACTAACTAATGATCATGATTAACAATGGTCAATGGTGGTTAATCATGATGACTAATTATGATCATTAGTTAAACACCTATTAAACACCATTATTAATAGTTAACCTTAGTTAACCCTATTTAGCCATCCTTAATAATGCTTATGGCGAATTTATTGATAATGTTTCTGAGTGGTCATGGTTCCTTGTATGAGCTGCCGGCTAGGTACCGAGACACCGCTGGCACCGAGCTTGTGGGTTGCACGGTGCGCCTTTCAGCGATGGATGATGCGAAACCAGTGGGAAGTGGGACTTTATGGACATCATGTTGGAATTATATGGAAAATCCGAATTCCTGTTTTTTTTTTAAATCTGGCTGAAATGGGTGTGAATAGGGGGTTGAAGTTTTAAAGCGAACATAGCAGAATACGGCGTTCATGTGTGTTGCAGCATTGCAGTTCTAGTGATGCAAGGCTGGTGGTGCCCTTGTTGGTAGCTCTCACATGACAAAAACTAGGTCACGCCGACATTAGCGGCGCTGGACGTTTTGGCAGCTGGCTTGCAGCAACCTCTGTCTCAGTGAAACAGAGCTGGCATGGCTGCCCACACATCTCCTTTACAGTTGCGGCGCCACATCCAGCTGTAAATCCAATCCCACAACGCAGGATTCACCTTTTTGCTGGTTCCATCCTTTGCTGTGATCTCGGATGGAACATACTTTTTCAAATCCTGCCATGCTCACCCCACCCCAACCCACCCCACCCCAACCCATGCCCCACGTAGCAGCAACGTAGCATCCACGTGGTGTGCAAGCGCA